CTTTTTTTGGATGGACAATTTAGAATATCCTATCCTTTCATCTGACAGTGTCCTCTGCTTTTCTACTTCTCCTAGATGTATTCACCCCAGCCCACATGGATGCTGTATTTTAAAGGATTATATACTGGGGTTTTTAAAATTAGGTGTACCAACAATACTAAATTTTGAAATGTGAAATCTGGCATGGAAGGTTAAAGATGTATCAGCCACACAGCTATTCCTGAATGTTTAAACAAATAGCTCATCACCTATTTGGCTTTCTTCACAGCAGGAGATGAATCTATGGAGCGAGAGGGTAGCAGTGGCCTGGGCATGCTTTTGGCACCCAGGGAGACACAGCTGCCTGTCGCTTCCTAGGCAGGATTTGAGGTTAGCCAGCATCCTGTGCATCAGGACAGCCTGCTGCCATAGCCTTGGCATGGGGGATGGCTGTGGCAAAGTTATGTGGAATTCAGAAGGCAGTATGATCACCTCTTTAGAAGAGCTTGATTTCAATTTAAGGCAATAATCTTTTTTGGGCTGACTTCATTGAGATTTGCACTAGAACCATAATTATTACAAATAATATGCACTTGTTCTCTGAAAAGCACTTTTTGTAGATTTTTAATATAAAAATATTTTTGTGATTTATCGGGTTTTTTCCTGCAATACTCTATTGTATTCTGCAAATATGATAGGATGAAAGACATGGCTGTGTGACATTTAGTGCTGAATAGTGGTTTCTTATTGGCTACTGCTCCTTATATACAATCAACATTCTTAGTTTTATTTTTTATTATTACTTTTTATGAAAAAGGACTTCCTTTGTCTTCAGTAGATATATAATATTTTATAGATTATATACTGTCTACAAATACTGGATAGTCTTTTGGAATTTGATTACAAACGGCATTTCTGAAAAGATCACAGTTTTGAAAAGCTTAACTGTTCCTTGCTTTTCATGCAGATGCTGAAATAAATACATGCTCTGTTGAGGAAAAATGAGACAATTTGGCTTCTGCTGATCTTCCAGGTCATTTGATAAGATAAAAAATAAAATTTAAAACTGCTACCATGGGACTTATGAACAATCATGTTACGTTAAAGACTGAGAAATAAGTGCAGGTATTGAGCATGTAATTTCCATAACCATATCAGTTCAGAAATACATTGGCAGAAAATGTCCTTGAAAAGTTCTAGAATTAAAGACATTCTCATTTCACAGGTAACTCATGAAATGGAAAGTGAACAGATATTGATAAAGTGACTGTTGTCTTCACTTTAATTCTGCTGAGATTAAAATCGGTCATGTTTTAGGATGGTTGGTTTTCTGTGAGAGGGTAGAGAATGCCATGGAGTTATTTTATTTATTATTAGCACTGTCACAGTGTGTACAGTCAGCTGCACAAACAGAAGAATGGAAAAACAGAAGAAAAAGACAGACCATTCTCTTCTAAGTTTTACAGAACTGTGTTCCTCTGCAGTGTTTTAGCTCTGTTCAGGAAAAGAAGGTAATTTTCATGCTTTTATACCTGCCAAGAGGAGCATAGCATTATGAAGATGTATGTAAAATTTTAGTGCCTTGAGTGAATGGCAGCTGAGAAATCTGCCAGTACTGTTGGTTCCAGTTGAAATTTCCAAGACAATGACTAGTGAGGAGGAACATGGCCAATACAGGAAGACAGAAGCAGAACACAAACTTTAACCCCAGCAGCAACATTTAGTTTTCGGCATCAGTGTGCTTGTGGACACAGTTCTCTCTTCCCTGCCTCTAATGTTTGCACCTCTAATGGAGGGCACTCTGCTTTTAGGCCTTCACTTATGCTGTGTAATACACCTTCAGCAAATTTGCTGATGACACCAAGCTGTGTCCTGCAGGCGACCCACCAGAAGAAAGAGGTGCCTTCCAGAGGGACCCTGACAGGCTCAAGTGGTGATCCCATGTGAACCTCATCTCATGAAGTTCAACAAGCCCAAGTGCAAGGTCCTATACCTGGGTTAGGGCAATCCCAGACACACCTACAGGCTGAGTGGAGAGGTGATTGAGAGCAGCCCTGCAGAGAAAGACTTGGGGGTAATGGTTGATGAAAAATTCTACATGATTCATCAGAGTGCACTTGCAGCCCATAAAACCAGCTGTCCTGGGCTGTATCAAGAGGAGTGTGGCCAGCAGGTCAAAGGAGGTGATTCTCCTGTTCTACTCTGCTCTTGTGAGACCCCACCTGGACTACTGGGTACAGTCCTGGTGCTCCCAAATAGAAGAAGGGCATGGAACTCTAGGACCAAGTCCAGAGGAGGGCCATGAAGCTGACTGGAGCACTTCCCCTAAAAGACAGGCTGAGAAAGTTGGGGCTGTTCAGCCTGGAGAAGAGAAGGTTGCATGGATACCTCACAGCAGCCTTCCAGTATCTGAAGGGGGCCTACAGGGAAGCCAGAGATGGACACTTCATCAGGAACTGTAGTGGCAGGACAGTGAGTAATGGGTACAAACTGAAAAAGAGGAAACTTAGGTTAGATATTAGGAAGAAACTTAACTGTGATGGTGGTGAGACACAAAGAGGTTGCCCAGAGAAGGTGTGGATGTTCCAACCCTGGCAGTGTTCAAGGCCAGATTGGATAAGGCTTTGAGCAACCTGGTTTGGTGGGAGGTGTCCCTTCCCATATGGCAGGGAAGGTTGGGACTAGATGGTCTTTAAGGGCCATTCAAACCCCTTAAGACTCTGACTCTATGACTATATGGGTCTCTTTGCTTAGCACACTAAAGGGATATTTTGTTTTATTCTTCTCATGGAAATCTCTGTTTTGATCTCATCAGATGAATGATCCAGAAACAAAAGGCTCTGCTGACTGCTAGTATGCCTGTACCTTAATGTGACAGAGCTTCCCACACATTTTCAAGATCCATTACAGAGAAACTGAGCTGAGGAAATTTGGAAATATTTTGAATGCCTATATAATTTTATTGTTCTTTAAATTTCAGTTCAAAGAAAGATGTACTTTTATGTTATTTACCATATCATACCTGGTATGTAAATTCAGGTTCCTTGCTGGAAAACTTGTTTTCCAAATGTAATATTTGGTGTTACTATGTATTAATGTGAACTGAAAAATCTTTGTAATTTAAAAACTGTTTACATTCTTTAAGAATTGAACATTTAGCAATGTAGTCAGTGTCTAATGTATTAAAAACCTGTAATTTGAAAGTTCTGAATATTGATTTTGTCAGGAATTAAATAGTTTGGGTCCTGTGTATCAGTAGTCCCATTAGATCTTGCCCAGTATGTTTTGCTGCATTTGGTTCTGAATTAGTAGTCTCACTTTTTTCGTCTGGTGAACAACACATACTTCCTGTTGACTTCAGATGATTTACTCTTTGTTCAAGTGTAAATTGGGAGGACACCAGCCTCAAGCTCTCCTTTCCACTACTCCTAACAATCTCATCATTACACCAGTTTGATCTGCCAAACCTTTCATCAGATGTAGAAATGAATGGAAAGATTACTTCTCTAGCATAGTAATTAGTGCATTTACCATTTAGTGTAAATCAGTTCATCAATTTAACAATGTTTATCTTGTTATAAACAGTGAACTCCCCTTCTCACATAGCTTATGTAAAGGGCATTATGCAAAGAGGAACCAGGGCTTCAGACTGTGTTTAACTGTGTCTGGTCAGTACACAAGAGTCTGGGCTAGTCCAGGGACAGCTCCCATGGAAAGGCATAGTGGCTGAGAAGCACAACACAGTATCCTGGAGACACCAACTATTTCCTGTGATTCCATTGTAAGACAGTGATTCTCCTTCTACTTTGTTCCAAGGATATAATTGGGATGCAAGCATTAATACCTGCAAACATATAAAGGTCCTCAAATGCAAGACATAGAACTGCCAGGCCTTACAACAGTATTAAAGCAGCATCACCAGCAGCAGGATTTATCTGAGTAGGAGAAAGAGGTTTACCAGCACACACCTAGAGAAGCAAGTGCATTAGGAGCTGTGTGAAACCTTTGTATTCCAGCCCCAGGTACTGCTGTACACAGCAGAATGGTAAAGCCTAGCTGGTGTGCAGCACGTGAAGGTATGTCAGGAGAAGTGAAGTCCTTCTGTCCATTCACAAAGAGACTGTACACGGACTGTTAAATGTTTTAGGATGGCAGTGTTTTAGCTACACTATTGTTAAAGCATATGGAAATCATAGCAGTCAAAAGCTACTCTTTCTTGTCCTGCAGGTTTTTTTTAATCAGAGCGTAGGTTGTGTTTGTTAAGAGGTGAACATTGTCAGGCTGCTTCTACTTTCTGCTCTGAAAACAGCTGCTAATAGTACTAGCTTAATGCACAAAGTGAACTGATTGGTGCAGTAGCTGAAATCCTGAAAGAGCTAGAACTCCATTTTTACAAAATGCTTCGATAAAACTAGCTCTTAAAAAACTTCAAATAACTAAAGCAATAGAACATAATATTTCATTTAAAAAAACCCCAAAAAACCCCCAAAAACCAAAACAACCAACCAACCAAAAAACCCCAAACAAACAAACAAAAAAAAACAAAAACAAAAAAAACCCCAAAAAACAAACCATCCCAAACCAACAGAAAATGGTCTTTTAGATCCTTGTGTCTCCAGCAAGAAAACTGACATAAATAGCTTTTCTGGTATAAAGGGCAACTACGTAAGATATGTTGAAAATTCATAGTCAAAAGGAAAAATAAATACTTCAAGTTTTCCCTGTACCAGACAAACAGGATTCATTGCAACTACAAGCTGACTGCGTGAAAGTAAGGGGACTAGCTCCCTGAAGTGCTTTAAAGTAACAGTTACTGAAATGGGATAAACAAGCAGTAGGACCATGAGAAGTACAATCACACAAATGTTAATTGAAATCATACCTTATAATAGATTAGTTCATAAAGTTATTTAACATAAGCAAAAGTAGTTATGAAAATAATAGTCAACAGAAGGAACTCCAACAGTTTCAGTCACTTGTGTCATCTCAATTTTCCTTTTCCTAAGAATTACTCCATCAAGCTGTTGACAAATCATACATCAAAGTTTATTAAGACAGGAAAAACAGGGGTATCTGATTTTGCACTCAAGTAATTGACAAATGCAAGTCTTTAACAATAAAGCTTCTATCAGAACCCAGCAAACAAAGCCATTATGCTGTGCAAACACCTTTCAATGAAGTACATACAGCTTTGGGCAAATAATATAATGTCTCATGTCCCTGTTGCCTGAACATAATTAACTGTGTTACAATTTTGTTCTCCTGCAGTGAAACTGTTGCCCAATTCTGTGAAACTATTGCTAGGGATCTTTTCTAAGGTATAGATAAAGGAGTCTGTGAAAATCTGTTTGTGTTAAAATGTATTCTATTGAAAGACTTAATATTTTACTGAAAAAATGGCAACATTTTTTAAGTTTGGAAACTATAAAGTGAATAGTAGCAATTTTGTGGGGGGTTTTATTGGGCATTTTTGTTTTGTTTGTTTGTTGCCTTTTTTTTTCTTTTTCTTTTTTTTGTTTAGCTAAACTGGAACTTCAAAGATCACACTTCAATCTGAGCTTGCACCCACCCAGCTGAATTATCACTAACCAGATAATCTACTGCTGCTAGGCAGCTTTCAAAGGTGATACTTCTGTCTGAAGGGGAAATTAACAGCCTCTTAGGGCTGTAAATTTCATTTCTACATAGTAATTGTGCATTCTGTCCCTTTCTTCCAAAAACCACATGCTGAAATCAGGATCTAGAGAACATGATCTGCCCACCCAATTACTTACATAAGACCTGCCCATAGCCATCACTTTGTGCTCTACTGAACAGAGGCACAGAGGAAATGGAAGAATAGTATCAAAACACACGACTCTGAGAGATAAAAGCCAAGATTTCTAGCAAAGAGTGGCAGTGTCCACAGCACAAGATCAGAAGGAAATTCTTTGAGCTGCGGAGAGCTCATCTTCCTGTGCTCCTTATTCTGCTGCTGTTACAGATTGTGCTCCTTGGCTCAAGCTGGAACACCCTAACAAGTCAGAGAGACTTGTGGCAGACATTCTCGGCTGAGCCATTTCACCTTTGGTACTTAAAGAAACAGGTCCTAGACACACTACTGTCTTTCAACCATATACCACACAATCTGACTGAACATGAATAGAATAAGACTATTTCCATCTCCCATTTTGCACCAGGATTTTTTACTTTGGTTTTGGTCCTAATCTTCTTGTGGAAGTCATATGCATCAGTTAGGGAAGCCTAAATGTTTAGCTAGCAACATAGGTTTGTCACGAGGAATACACAAGAACAATGGACTAACTGACTAAACCCAGGATTTTAGCAAGTTATTTCTACATTGCAAAAGAAACATGTGCACAATGGTCTTGTTACAGTTGTAATAACCTTCTAATGCAGAAATACACAGAATTCCTCATCAAAATAGTGAAGTCTTCAGTTTTGGAGAAAAAAGTGTAAACACGAATTGAACTAAGACTTAAATCTGGTGTGCCTAGAAAAAAGCTGAGTACAAAAAATAAACAAGAGACCAAGAGACAAAGCCCATATTCCTAATCTGATTTACATAGCTTTTCTGTGAAATACATGTTAGGTAAAAATGGTGATCTCATTCTTAGGTGTATCTACTTGGTAGTAAGAACACAGGCTACAGGAGTGGCATATTTTAAAATAAAAATACTCTAAAAATACTCTAAAAGAAAAAAAAAGCCTTTCATGTTTCCTTAGTTCTCTTAAGTCTTATCCATGTGACAGCAGAAGTGAGCTGTTAGGTGTTAACTGTCATTACAGAGAATGTGAGCGTGAGCACACAAGTTAGAGCAGTCTGCTCGCTAGCTATCTAGTTAGGACTAATTTCAAAACTCTTGTCATCTTGACTGGAAGATTAATAGCTGCTTCCTCCTGATTAAACATTGAAACCAAAATTATGGAACTTGTTGATGGCCTCCCTCACATGCTAAATTTATAAACTTTTACTGTGAGCCACTCTGTAGTTTTACTTCCTCATTCAAAAAGTATTTTACCCTTCTCTAAGGCAATAGTTAATCACTATTATCTTTTTGTAATAAGGACAGATCATACAAATCCCTTTTACTAGTAGTCTTGTACCGTCTTGACTCTGTTGTACTGAACAGTAAGAGGGGTTAGCAGAAATATCTACTACATATTTTTTTGAAAGTTATCCAGAACCAAAGCTCAGTCTTACACCCAACCCCAAGCTGTGCTCACACATTCACTTCATCTGAGCATGTTCTTGAAGTCACTGCTGCCCATTCCTTCTCCTTGCGTACAAGCCAAGGCAGGCGCAGAATCCAACAACACTGACAGCGAGGCCCAGGAGGAAGGCAATGGTATCTCCTGCATCCAGGGCTTCAACTACTGGCAGCACCAGCAGCAGCGACACGAGGATCAGGAAAAGTTTTGAGGTGTTCTCGGTTGAAGGCATGTTGGCAAGCAGCTGACCCCAAGGGGAAGTTAAATGAAGAAACTGGTGGACAGCAGGTACTTCACTGCTATCTACAAGGAAAACAAAAGGAACATTACATGATTTTCCTTCCTCGTGGAAGACAAATCCCTGGATTTGTCTTGCCAAAAGCCAACTGACTGATGCATTACAGATATCTGTGTGGAGCTCATGAAATTTAGGTTTATCTTCCCAATTACAAAAGTAAATGACTTATAATCATGAGACAGCCACAATGGATTTGCTTTCTTGTTATGTAACTCTGTGGAAACCAATCTTTTGAAGACTTACCGTGAGGTAATGTCAGAACAGGCTCTCCTGCCTGCAGCTACCAGAGCCTGCCTACCTGGTGCCTTGCTGCTAGGCGGGCCTGTTTCACCAGGTGTTTAGGGCCTGGCGGCTGTTGCACATCACTCACGCACACTTCCTAACACCGGGCATCCTCGGGATCCCGAGCATGGACAGACTGCGGTACACTGGGGAGGGCGTGAATTTAACCTCCCGGGAAGTGCCACCGTGCTCACCCTCACTGCGGGACAAACGCCTGTCGTGGTTCCTACAACTTGGAAAGCCGCTCCCAAGGAGCGCGCCGGGACCAGCCCGGACCGCCCTCTCCGCAATACTTCTTCCCGCGGGGATGGCTCGTTCGCGGGGTGCACACGAGAAAACCCCGCGCCGGGACACCCGAATAAGCGGCTGCCCCGCTCGCACCCCGGCGGGGCCGGCGCCGCACCCCGCCGGCCCCGGGGCGCCCGCGCTTCCCGTCCCGCCGCCGCGGGGCTG